TCAGTTTTTATTTATTTTTTTTTTACATATAATTGAGTAAGCATGATAAACGATCCAGGCATGTTCCGAGTATGAGGGAAGGGCACGCCTAAAAAAACGTTTCTTTTGCAGTTTTTTTTTTTTTTTTTTTTTTTGTAAAATGTAAAATACATAGTTTTTTTTTCGGTTAAAATAGGAAAAACCGTATTTTTTTTTTTTTTTTTTTTTATTTCTTGTGCTACGCATGCACGTAATACACGCAAAAAAGGAAGAAGAAAAAAAAAAAAGTGAAGAACGTGTTGGTGTTTGGAGGCAACAACCGCACCTCCGTCGGCGAGTACGAGCTCGAGCACATATGGGCCGCTCGGATAGACGCGGTGTATTTTTCATTGCCGACAATTTTTGGGCGTGCCGTTTTTAGGCGGGCGCTGTGTGGGTGCGGTCGCCTCCTCGGTATGGTCTGACGCCGCCGCCACCGCTGCTGCGTGTACTACGTAAACGCGCCGGAGTGAACCGGTAATGGGCAAGGGACCTATACGGCGATACCAGAAAATAAAGTAATAAGAACGAGAAAAAAAAAACGCCGATTAAAAAGTATATAGAGACGGCTCGGTGTATAACGAGCCGATGCCGTATACAAGCGCGGGTGCCAGCAATTATCTAGCGGGCTCCTAAGTCGGTTATATGTTAATTATAAAAGAAAAAGCAAACAAGTGTATAGTGCGAGTTGGAAATGAAAATTAAAAAAGAAAAGTCGGTGTAGCGTCGAACAAAATAGAAAGAAATTTGTAGCGCGCTTGTTTTTTGCCACGGGGATTGCCCGGTATGGCTTGAAGCGTTTAAAAACAAGAAGTACCGCGAGGTCGACGCGGTGAGAGACATTTTTTTTTTCTTTTTCAAGGTTTTATGAAACTGGTTTAATTATAGATGGATATCAGCGGCCACTTGATCAGACTGCCCGCAGAGGATTTTAGACTCGAGAGAGATTTCTCGATTCGGCACGTCTTTTCGAGGTTTTTGAATTTTTTTTTTGTTTCGTTTGTTGTTTTGGTCGTTGTTTCTGCGGGTGTGTGTGTGTATCTGATGGCGCGTTGAGATATCGTTTTTGAAGCGAAATTATCGGCTCCTTTTAAACGGCGGGAGAGTAGTAACAAAATGTGGGTTGGCGTCTGTATACGCGCGCTCCGAGAATTTCGGTTAATTGGCGTTTTGCCCTGACGTAATTGCAGTTTGGGAAGCCACACCTCGCCTACTCGCGGTCTTCGTTTCATCGTAATTATTTTGTTTTTAATTTATATGTATCTATAAGTTTTTTTTTTTGTTTTTTTTTTTTTAATCGGGCCGCAGAGAATATATATGAAGGGTCCTCTCTTTGCAAACTGTAAAGTGCGGGCTTTCCCTTTTGATTTGGTTTTATTTACTTTCTTCTTCGAAGCGAGATGACTTTCTTTAAGCGGTCTTGCCCACTGGGACGCGTCCCAAATTATAGACGTGTCAGACGACTTTCCCCCATTTAAAACAAAAAAAAAACAATAAAAACAAGCATTGGCCGCAAGTCGAAAACTTTTTTTTTGTTTACGCTCGGGGGTCTGTTTTTTTTTTCTACTCTACCAATTTTCTAAGCATCGGTTAAACTTAAAAAAAAAAAAGTTTGTTCCCTAAATAGGTACGGATTATCTGACTAATTACGCCTGCCGTTGCCATTCCATTATCAGCGCCCGCCGATCAGGGATCGCTATATGCAGAGCGCAAGCTTGTCTGCTTCTTGCAGCAGGGGTATAGCGAGTATGTCAGAACGCCGAGCTCTTATTGGCTGATTGAAAAAAAAATAGTGGGTAGACCTCATGGCATTTATAGACCAACTCATGTTTACACACAAACCGAAGCGCCCCTGGCGGATGCCACTGGCGTCGAGCATGCGCGATAGAGTGTTGGCAAGAAGCTCGCCGTCGCCCATAAGCAAACCATTGGAATGCGATGTTGTCGGCGTCGGTGAGAGTCTCCATGCCCTTTTTCGCTTTGGAATGGCTGATTCTACGTCTTCCTTGCCATGTCTGACTACTTTAGTGGCCTCAGCGAAATTAACGAGGCTCGTTACACCGCGAAACTTAGCGTGAATAATGTGACATGTGGCGATTCCTTCCGCGTGGACGCCACAGAGTGGACGCTAAAGCCTGATTAGCATTGTGAGATTTTGCTTGAAAGTTTCAGTCAGGAAGTCGCCCGGGCCGTAAAAGTGTGAACCGTAGCTTAGAAGGTCGACGTCGATACTGAATATCTCAAGCAGAATCGGACCAAGTGAACCAGGCATAACAAGTCGGTGATGGCCACTGGTAACAACTACTAACATCTCCTCGTATCTACTGCTTACACCGAGCCTACTTACCCACACCGACCTTCAAACTTGTAGGTTTTTTGAGGCCTGCACTTACTTCTTATTGCATGTACCGGGTCAGCGTTTGGTCTACGGGCCGCTGTCGTTTGAACGAGCAGACGACAACAAGCAGAAATGTTTGAAAGAGCGGACGACACTTTGAACGATCAGGCGGTCGTTTGAACTCGGCGGTTTTCCCGCGTTCATTTTGGAATAAAGCAAATGATTCTGACGGCCACAACTATCCCTGAATTCAACCCAAAGTGCTTCCCGCACAAGCAATCGTGGTCCGACGGCGTCTGGTTTCCCCTTTCCACGGCCCCTGTCCACGTTCTTCTCGGACGAACCGAACAGGCAGAAAACATATGAAAACTGACCTTCAAACCTTTCCCGACTCTTTTGGTACAGCCCCAGTCGCGGTTGTTTGACGAGAAAACAGGTTTTTGTCTGTTTTTTTTTTTTCTTTTCAGAACAACACAGGAATGCACGTCCCGCATGGTGACTTCCGCCCACAGCCCCAGACCGGAAGTGCGCCTAATTGTGGTGTACCCCCTATCCAACGTTACTAAAACACTCAGTTGGGAAACTCCCATAGAGACAGCTTTGAAAAAGTGGCCCCAATCTGTCTCCGAGCACCAAGCTAATGACGAACACAACGCCACCATTTCTCCCGCAGCGGCCACTCGAGGAAATGCACGTGACATCCATCTTGGCTTTAAGAACAGATACAGCGGTAGAGGTTACAGGGGTGCCATCCCTGTCGCCCCGGCGGACGCGCCGCGTTCAACTACCGAAGTCAAAATGCACCTAGGGCGGGACGCGCTACCTGAAAGGCCGTCTGAGGCATGGTTGAATAAAAACAATATTAATTGTGCCGCAAAACCCTGCAAACTAAAGATTTTAAAAAACATAACGTGCCCCCCTTTTTGTACTAAACTCCAATAAATTTCATACAAAAAGAGTCTTTTTTTATTTGTTTTTACGCAACAACAGGCTTTTAAAAAGCTCAAGCTGACCACAGTACCGACAAACGATAAAGAGTGGCGCTGTTGTCGCATTTAGCTCGGTCTCGGTGGACGCCAGCGGCCCATGTTCCGACGGCGAGTTTCCCAACTGAGTGTTTTAGTAACGTTGCCCCTATCCTTTCAATCGAAGCCAATCTGAGCACGGCGCCATTCTGACGTCACAGCAACTTCTGGGAAAGAAGCAGACGAACTTGCTCTCCGCATGTAGTCGTCGACAACTTAAAGAAATGGGGGGCATGTCCAATTCCGCGCATCTCATTAGCGTTAGGTAGCCAATGAAATTGCGGCATTGGGTTTTGTGAGAACGCCGAAGAGCCGACCACGAAGCAAGAAGCGTGTAAATAATAAATGATGATGATGATGATTATAATAAGGCACCCACTGCGTTTCTTAGGCTATCGGTGACCGTAGTACGTTACAACTTAAGAACCGTAGGAAAGGCTCTGCCCCCGCCCTCGATTCCCATAAAGAAATGATGTCATTACGCCGCTCAGTACGCACGCACGATGTTTCATGACGTCACGGAAAGCGAGCAGCTTCTTTCCACAAAAGTTCGCACCGTTTTTTTTTTAATACGCAGACAAAAACTAAAGCTCCGTAGGATGCTTAATGCGCCGATACTACCTGACAATTTAAGAAACGTTTGAGCTTTTGGTGTATATAAGCCCATGGAATATTGAACGTGACGTGTTTTCTTTTTATATATATATCACCTTGCTATGTTTTTTTTTTTTTTAGTTCTCAACTAAAAGGGCCCCACGCTACGACTTCGTAACAAGATGGGTTTGGATTTCTTTTTTCATTTTCTTTTTCACTTTTTTTTTTGTTCTTTTTTTTTTTTCTTTTGTCAAAAGTGTATGTCCGAACTCTAACGGAGTGCTTGTATACGTAAACCTTTCCAGCAATTCAGGGAGGGCTTTGTCTCACCAGAGGGACGAACAACAAACATCGCTCGTAGACACATCTGTTACATCTTATTTGCGATACCTGTTATACCCGAGAAACACAAACTTGCCACGGAGGCACGTGTTCGCTGACATCTGGTATTGCGGAGGGTCGCTGAGGTCGGCAAAGAAAGAAAAAAATTCATAATTTTGTTCTAGGCGAACAGCAATTAAGGTTTGACGCTCAAATGGAACGACAGCAGGAGATAGACGTTCTGTCGGTCACACGCCACCACTGCGACGACAAGAAAACAACGAAAAAACAGTGAGTGCGCAGGCGAGCTGGTGGATGTTGATCATGATGTAGAAAACCCGAGACTGTGGTAAAAGCAGGGAAACTTTGTCGAAGAAGAAACACAGGGGAAAAGAACAAAAACAGTGAGTGCTCAGGCGAGCTGGCCTTTTCCCCTGTCTTTCTTCTTCGACCAAGTTTCCCTGCTTTTACCGCAGTCTCGGGTTTTTTACATCACGAAGAAAACAACAGCAGCAACCCGCGTCTCGCGGATAAATTATACAACTCTCTCTGCACGCAGCCACGCGTGCTGCAGTGCGAGAATTTTCACGGGACAGCTTGAACAACCCGTCTGTGTATAACGCGATATTTGTTGTAACTAAAAGTAGCGTCGCCGTGTACGTATTGTTTACACATATACGGGGATTTTTCTTTTATACTTACAGGAATTGCGCTGCCTCCTGTCGGTCAAGTGGTCCGTCGTGTCAGCTGCTGATCATCCGCGGCGATCAGCCATCCTGAAAAAGTAAGAAATATATATACATATATATTTTTTTTTTATTGAAAGAAACGCAATGTGCAGTATATCGAGGAAACTGACGGTCACCCTCAACAAAACAAAAACAAAACAAAAATAATAATGAAGATTGAAGTGTCTTAAAGTCAAGTAATTTTTTACCTCTGAGTCAAAGGTTGCTTGGATGTTATCATTGGGCGCGTTAAGTTCGTGCTCGGGATCGGGAGAGTTTGGCGCTCTGTTCACTGAACGGACTGGAGTATACCACCGAAGACTGGCTTTCAAGCGCACTATTCGTGCACCGAGTTTTTTTTTTTTTTTTTTTCTCGAGGCCTGAGTGACTTTGTGCTCCGTAACGTCACTTTCTCAAACAGGATGGCTGCGCCGGCGGGAACTTTATCGTGACGAAGAGTGAGGTCGAAAGGCTTCCCCTTTTGAGTTGAAAAGTGCTTAGTCCTGCGAGTAAAAGCGAGTCGATCGGAAAAGGTTTGTTCGTGTATATGGCCTGAAAATGAATTAGCGTAATAGATATTGAACTGCGGTGAGCCATGGCATGTCGACGGGTCTTGCTCTCAAGCTGCACGACGGAACCCATCTGAACAACCCTGAGAATCTTGACGTTTTCCCCAGTCGACAAGCCAGTCCAAAAATTACATATGTTTTATATACCGGAGCGGGATGAGCGATAAATAGGCGGGTCTCGGCAACGTAGTGCTTCTGTGCTTGAAGAGATCGAGTCTCTCAACCTTTCAGTCGTATTAAAACGATTAAAACATTCAATACCGAATTGCATTACCTACTTCTTTATACTTTATATACTTTATACTCTGCCTGTGCACACAGGTACGGGCTGCTTTAATTTATTCGCGGATTAATTCGAGCTCTGGCCGTTTGTATCCAGAACGTTCTGCGTTCGCATCGTAACCTTATAATGACCGGAAATGGCGTCCGACTCGTCGATGGTTTTGGTGTGACGTGCTCCCGTACGCTCCGCTTAGTTGCTCCACTCGGAGTGTGAAACTCGGAGCGTCAGAGAACGAGTAAAGGAGCGCGAACTTAAGCTACACGCTGCGCTTTTAAAATTGACAGTGACTCGAGCAGAACTATTCTATGAACAGAAATATTAATGTTCGAATCCAAAGCGACGACCGAACAATCGATTGAACAGTCAGTATGACCTGTGGCGCCACCTACGATTGAGGGAGCAATGTGAAACGTGCCTGACGCTCTCCTCGTCGCCTGCGCTGCTAAGTTCGACATTGACGTCGCAATCGAAGTGGGTACTTTTTTTCTCTCCCTGTCTCCCTCCACCTATCTCTTTCTCTCTTCCTCCCTATCTTAATATTCTTAATTTTATTCTATCGTCATCAGCGAGTAAAGTGTCGTGAAGGCAATGCAACAGCAAAGCTTCAGTCACCTGCAATACTAATTTTGACACTGACGAAAATTAATCTTGTCTCTCTCTCTTTTTTTCCCCCTCTTTCTTTCTTTGTCACTCTAAACGTTTATATTTCTTCTTGCATTTTTTTTTGTTTTGCTTTGTCGTGATGAGCGAGCAAAGTTTTGGGCAAGGTGACGAAACTGTATAATTTTTATCTGGAAGTCGCGTCAAGTGGAACAGCAAATTAACACCGGGAAGTAAAAAACAAAGAAAGAAAACGGAACGGAACCAAACCTAGCAAAATACGAAACTTAGGCGACCCGCGGCGCGAGTTGACTCCGAGAGTGAATGCTCATTACATTTTCCAACCTAGCTTGTGTGTCTTGTACGGGCTGCCTCGAAAAAAGGGCAGGAAAGCGAGTGGCAAATAAATATAAAAAATAGGGTCGTCGCCGCAGCGCAATCAGCACGGCGTAAAAATTGTGATGACGTCAGCCAATTAGACTAAAGTCGAGTTAATTAAAAAGCAAGACAAAAAAAAAAATAAAGTGTGTGGGGGAAGTGTGCTGCAAAACGTTGGAAACACGGCGGCTGTTGGGTGGTCGGGAAACTAAGGAAGCGAATGAAGGGAAGAAAAAAATGGGGAACGGTGAAAAAGGTCATTAAACTAATTGCGGCGGAGAATTGCGATGATCGTGCGATATGTTCTAGTGCGGCGTGCGACTGGGGTTTTTATTTTTTACTATATTTATTTATTTTTTTCGGGGGGAGGGGGGGGTTAAAGGTTTTATTAGTTTTACTCTAGCAACGCCGGTATGAGGAGTTTGGGGAGGTGAGGGGAAAAGGGAGAGCTAATAATGCTTCATGGTCTAAAGCATTCTTTACTATTTTTTTTCGAAAGAAACGGGTTGTAGAGAGAAAACAAGCGAGAATCTATGTACGAATATACACACACATACCGGTTTAGCCGGCTTCTGTTTTTACCCGGTCGCTGGTTGCTTGTTTTTCGAATGGGCGATATACACAAACTGCATGAACTTGATGTACCGAGCAATGAAATGACGAAGAAAAACGAACCGCAAAATAAAATAAAAAAAGAAAGATGGAACACAGCACGAGCTGGTTGTGAGTTTCGTATGGGAAAGAGAGGATAGAGAGAGGGAGAGAGAGGGGAGAAAACATTGAAACGTAATTTTCATCTCCGACTAGGCAGGTAGGTTATATCGCTGTGCACAAAACGAAGTTGGGTCGAAAGTTTGGTGTTTTGGTGTTTTGTTTGTTTGTGTTACGCATGCGCGAGCGCGCGTACGTTCCTACTCTGTACGCGTCTCGTTTGTCGGGCTCACATCTAGATCGTCGTCGGCCAACGCTGAGGGGTCTGCATTCGCATTAGCGAGGGTCGGCCCGGGCGTGCGTTAAGTGGCTGCTATCGCGCTGCTGTTGCTAGATGCGACCGCTAGTTGGCGTGGATGGACGAACGAAACGCAGGCAAAAAGGCCGCAAAGACGAAACGCAGCGATAGTGGAAAACCAAACAAGCAAAATGGAAGCATTCCGTAAAACAAAATACAACGCGGAAATTTGTCTTTTTTCTGAAAGGGTAATAATGAAAGTTGGAGAGGGTGTTTAATGAGAACGCGATATATGGGGGGGAGGCTGGTAGGCCGTGGAACGAAATGAGAAAGTGAAAAAGTTTTGATGCGTTACAGGCGGTCTGTTTCGCCTCCGCGCGAGATGTGGTCGTGTATAGGCGAGATTTCGTTGGAACGCCGTCGAAGCGTTCGCGCGCGCCTGTCGTGCTTGCGATTTTTTTTTTTTTTTATTGTAGGTGTTTTGTCGAGTTGATGTTGACGTTTTGAACGGTGGGCTGGATCTCGTCTGTTAAAGGGGGCGTGGCCATGTTGTTAATTGGGAGGAGGAGAGGGGGAGGAAGCAACGTTGTTGTTTGTTTTCATTTTTCGGCGAAGGCTGGGTCCGCCTGATATTGTGTTTAGCGGAACACAAATTCATATCGATGACGTCACGGTGAGTGATGCGCCTGCGCATATGCTTTTCTGTTGGATATTTCTGCTCGTTCTTCGATCTTCGAGAATAATTGTTTTGCTCCGGGGGCTATATGTGGTCACTGGCAGCTAAAGAAACGTGGGGCGTTGCTTATTATGTTAATTTGATGCGTCTTGCCTCGTGAGTGGCTCTTTGGCGTTCTTATCTGCTGATGCCGGAATCTGATTGGCTGTGGGTCTATCATGATATTAGCGGGACTCTGTGCACCCTACGTTTCTTAGACGGCGACTCCGTTCAATATTTTAGAATTTGGGACTGCGACTGTTTTCAACTCAGTCAGCGTCCCATTAAAATATGTAATTTTTTGTTTTTTCGATATTGCGTGTAGTTTTTATAAATATCACGGCTGAAATTTCGGTTTCTGGCGTCTACGACAAAACCGAAACTATCTACTAGGAAGGATGGCAACACTGATCATCGACTGTACGGCGGCGACGTGACGTCACCTTGGCGCTGCGGTACGCGGTACGACGTACCGCAGATGACTGGATGGATGGATGGATGTTAAAGGCTGTACCCTTTATAACGGGCGGTAGCTGGCGCCACCTAGCCAGAAATTAAGAACCAAAAGTATGATTTCTTTCCTTCGCCAATTCGCTTACTTTGTGCAATTTCGTCACTGCGGTAAACGTCGCCCAGTGTTCCTTGACTGAAAGCTAACCCGCTTGCCACCCGTTAAAGAGAAGGTGGTCGCATCTTTAAAATCGGTCTTAGGGGGGCACGCGGCTTCACTCTGACGTAATATTTCGACTGTGATCACATTTGGCACCACTAAAGCGATACCAGTTGTTTTTGAGACGATTATTGCAGTAATATGTTCCATCTCCGTGAGAAAAAAATTTTTTTTTTCGATTACCTTTATTCGCTGTTATCATCTAGAAAAGCATACACATTTTGTAATAACAGTGTTTGCAATCTCACCGAAATGTCGTGTTTGCATTGGTCAGAAATCGTCCTGACTGCGGGAACAATGTTCCTCTCATCGCCGGAGATAATTCAGATTTTTTTTTTCTTTTTAATAAGGAAAGGGGCTGCGCATCGTTATGGTTTATGAATTCCCAGGATGCCTACAGCCCGCAGAGTGAGATATCACCATATTTAGGCGATCTCAGAAACCCACTAGGGCACCTTTAAGCTGTCAGTGAGTGAGGCCCAGTGACTTGCGCTTTTTGCGCAGCTTGGCTGGTGCCATTAGCTCGTAGGGTCAGCCTCGTCTCGACTTAAGCTGAAATGAAGTATAGTCCTTATTTAGCCTGTTGCGAAATAGGGAACAGCAGGCGAGGCTTCGTGCACAAAACAAAACGCTCTGTTCAATGCCCAACGCGCCGAGCCGCATTTGGAGGTAATAGTCCGCTTCAACCTAAGAAGAGTAGGGCAAGTATTCTCTTACAAAGCCTTCCTCCCTTTCTGCCATAGCAGAGCGAAAATTGAAGAGGCCAGTGGAGGCAAGGAATCATCCATTTGTGTGGAGTAAAACTAAAGAGTTTTGTGAGCTTCTTAATCTGCAATAGACTGTAGGAAGAGCTTAGTTTTCTTTTATATCTGTAGGCGGCAGTTGGGATGTT